AGACACTTCGCCTTGATTTGATCGAGAGGTCCTCTGATAAGTACAAAAGTGCAGATGTTCTCATCTTCAACACAGGTCACTGGTGGACTCATGAGAAAACTTCCAGAGGGTAAGACCCATTCCCCCTGTCACTCTGTGTCATTGATTTTATGAAACTGGCCTGGAATACTACAATAACATAATCATATTGCAGGAAAGGTTACTATCAAGAGGGTAGCCATATCTACGTTGAATTGAATGTTAAAGAGGCATTTCGGAAAGCTCTAATGACATGGGCAAGATGGGTTGACATCAATATAAATCTTGAGAAAACTATTGTTTTCTTCCGGGGCTATTCGCCTAATCACTTTAGGTAACCATATGAAGTAGTTTTAACTTTCAGAACCTCATGGTTGGTTAACAAATATACAGCATCTTAATAATCTTTTTACCCTTCACAGAGGTGGAAGATGGAATTCTGGAGGTCAATGTCATGGTGAGACAGAGCCAACTGCAAAAGAAGCAAACAAAGGAAAATATATGTCGAAAATGAGAATCTTGGACTCGGTAATCATAGAAATGAAGACACCAATCTTCTATCTGAACATTACAAAAATGACTGATTTTAGGAGGGATGCTCATCCATCAATTTATAGAAAGCAGAATTTCACAGAGGAGGACAGAAAATCTCCTTTGAGATACCAGGATTGCAGTCACTGGTGCCTCCCTGGTGTTCCTGACACATGGAACGAGCTTCTATATGCTCAGCTCATTAGACACAACCAGAAGCAACAAAAACAGCAGGCATCAAGAACAGCAGGAGGGGAGACCCTAGATAAATGATAAATCAGATGCCCTGTTTATATGGATCATGTTAACAAAGATTTGGAGAAAATGTTTTCTGTCGTATTTCTCCATAGAAAAGTAGGAGAAAAAAAGTTATAATTAGGGAAGGTTTGTGCATGCTGTATATGATTGTCTTTGAACATGTGGGAAAGAAGTGGAGATCAACAATAGGGTATGGTTAGTGTACTAGCCACCAGGATGTGGGAGGGGATTGTTCTCCATTAGCCACTCATGGTCTTTACATTGTAAATTTCATACTTAATTTCTAATGACATGATCGTTTGTAAACACAAGTCTTTGTAATTTAAGCTTATAATATCTTTGTGCAATGGATGTGGTTGATAATTGTAAATCATGTCATAGCTTTATTCAAGACATTTCATAGAAAGAGATCTCGTAGCCATATAAGCTTGAACATGAACTTGTAGCCATGATCATCATCGTATCAGGCATAAAGCTTTATTAGTTTTACATAGCCATAACTTTTTATTAATACTCCGCTATCAAAGTAGCAGATGATCCATACGAATCTCCATTAACCTTCCTGCAGTTCAATCGAATCTCTCCATCAGTTCCGGTCAGAGGGCTTATATTCCCCATTTTAATCATGGATTTCACAAAGCTCTCAAAGAAGGCGCTCTGATTAACGCTGAAGTTGTTAACAATGTTGATCGTATCAGCCCCGGTGGTCGAAAACAGCTCTTGATCGCTTTGGAGAAGGCCCTTACGAACTTGAAGATTAGAGAAATACTTGCCGTCGAAAGTGTTAGGTGTTGAAGGATCAAAGTTAGCCAGCACACTCGCATTCCCGTTCTGGGGGCATAACTCTCTCAGTGTTTCTAAGTAGGTTGAGTTTAAGGTCGGATCAGGAAGGCCTGTGCTGTTGAAGTCATACAGTCGATTGCTGAAAGATTGACATTTAGCACGCCCAAATGTGTGAGCACCTGTGAATTATATATTATATCATATGCATGTCAAATGTTGTCACTAAAAAGCAACACACATATGTATATGGTTCCTTCAAATGTTTTTTTCTCTTTTCTTACTTACCGGATAGTGCAACCAGATCAGTGGTGTCGAGGCCTACAGCTGCGAAGCTGGCCTTGAGTTGGTCAAGGGTGAAAGTGGGAGGTGGAAGGGCTTCGTTGGCAGCCGTGCGATTCGCTGTTGTGCTATCCCTTCTTCCTAAGAGAACTGTCCATGAGGGGCCTCCAGACTGCAACCATAAAATTAATTTCAAGAGGAGATCAATATAGAAGAACAAGATGAAGGCATAAATTGTTTTTGAAATATGTACCAAAGAAACAGATTCTTCAGCTGCAATGGCGAGAATATCAGCACAGGAAACAACCCCTGGACAAGCAGTCTCCAATGCAGTCTTGATGTTGTCCACAACATCAAATCCTCTGGCTGAGTTGTTATTTGCAAATGCTGCTTTCTCGCTGTCTATGGTACTGGAAGTGCTGCTACTGTTGTCCAACAAGATTGATCCATCACAACCCTGAAATTAATACAACCAACAAGTCTTGTGATCTTCCCAACAATATATTCACTAATGTTTTCAAATATCTAAGTGGTAGCTTAATTATGTTAGGATAAATTTTGTTCGTTTTCGAATGATTAATAATGGTCGGTGTCCAAATTCGGAAATTAGTTGTTTTAAGTTAAATAAGTTCTTCAGCTTAAATCTAAGCTCATCAGTTTGAGTCCTCGGATGAATGGAGCATTTGATCATGAAGAAGAACATGTACTTAGAAGTAAAAGTAAAAGAGCAGGAGATGAAATATGTACGTTGACGAAGCAGTCATGGAAGTGAAGCCTGGTGAGGCTGGCAGCAATCCGGGGATCTGTCTGCAAAGCCTCTTCAATGACAGCACGCACAGTGCTTGTGGCATTTGGGCAGTCTTCATCATAAAACGTAGGGCTCAGCTGGGCCTCGCCATATCCTGCACCTGCACACAAGATTAATAATATCGCAAACAAAATACTTACCGATATTTTAATACTGCGATTATTCTGAGAAGCAGAAGAAGAAGAAGGAGGCATTTTCTCAGGTAGACTCATCTCTTTAACTGATATTAATCAATGCATATGAGAGAGCAGTAGTAAGTAGTTCTATATATAACCTAAGCTTTTATTTATAGCGTGACAAATACTTAAATGGTATCGAGTACCTATATCAAATTAAAAATGGGAACACGTACGTTATGCAGATGAGTCACGGTCTGCTGTTGCTTAACTTTCGATCTGAGTATTGTATCTTAACAGATCACTGTTTCATAAAATCAAGAAACTAAGCAATCATGGCTACAATGATCAGATTGGAACTTAATTCATATGAAGACAAACATGAGATTGATCATGCCTTAGTTATAATATCTCTAGAAATTTAAACCTACTACGTACAACTACTCTGGTTTGATTTTTCGTAATTAGTATGAAGTTCAAAATGAGTTGAAATTCAAATTTATTTACCCAAAGAGAAAAAAAAACTTTAAAGTTTAAAAGGAGTTGTATAATTGAGGAATTTATGCCTTTCGCTTCTTTTTTCTTCCATAAAAAAACACATGTGCCTTTACTTTTTTTTTTTTTTATCAGAAAGGAAAAATGCGCTTTTACTTTAATAAAGTGTGTTGGACCGCCAGAACATATGCCTATTTTTTTGGACATGAGATAAGAGTCAGAGTGGTGATGCTCATATGCAGTGGGGTTATATATGTCTAATATCAGTGAGTCAGTCACGTATTAAGTTTACCGAAAAATGTATCCACTAAAAATTGAGTGTGTATAAAAAAACTGTAGATTAGTAATTTAGTACCGGGCAATACATTCTCCTGCAACACATAGGCCTCGTTTGTTAAGAAGGACTAGACTAGACTTGTGTTACACCAGAATGTTTCATTACTAATTGTAAATGTACAAGGAAAATCTCTCATGATCTTAAGTACGTATTTATATTGGACGGTGGTTATAAGACATACATGCTCACTTATGAGGTATCGATAAGACACTGTTCACTTATAATGGTGGCAAGAAAGTCCACGTAATTAGGTATCGATAAGACATACATGCTTTTGGAAAAGGTTTAACTTTGAGGTTTATGCGAAATCATTAATGGCTCGAAAGGAGATTTCGGAATATTCAAAATTTGGTGCATTCATATGCACACGAAAAGCTATGAGTACTACTAACAGACCACAGAATTATATGGCTGTGTCACTTATTTGCATGCCAATGGGGAAGATGACTGGTTGATCAGTTTCCGTGATTGACGATCGAGGGTTGAAGACTTGAATGTAAAAACTATTTTCTCCTTTTGGGAAAATAAATGTATTTAAAATAGTTAAGAACCCCTAAGACACGTTTTCGTGAGTTCAGATCCATTATATAACAGGCATGTTATTATCATGTTTTGCCATGCATGCATTATGCACATACATGCCAACACATATATAACAACATGCATGTTGTGATGATGTTTTACTTTTACACCATGCATATACATGGACAACTACATAATATGATGATTTCAATTGACTCTTGTGCAATCAGACCTAATCTCTCCATCACTGCCCGTCAAAGGTCTAATGTTTCCCATATTGATCATGGACTGACCAAAGCTATCAAAGAAGTCGCTTTGGCTATTAGAAAAGCGGTTCACAATGGCAACAGTGTCTCCGCTAGTTGAGAATAGCTCCTGATCCGTTTGGAGAAGCCCGCGCTTGTTTTGGAGGTTTGTGAAGTAGTTGTTGTCGAACTCGTCACGCGTTGATTGGTCAAGGTCCGCCAACGTACCTCCATTGCCGCCGTTAGGACATATTTGCCGTAGCGTTTCTAAGTATGTTGCGTCTATGGTCGGGTCGGGCTTCCCCGTGCCACTGAAATTGTACAGACGGTGGACGAAAGTAACACATCTTGCCCGCCCAAATGTATGAGCACCTCAGAAAGCAAACGGACATATATATTTGGAAATTTATAACTAGAACAGTTATATTATAGCTAGTGATCAGTTATATACCTGATAAAGCAACCAGATCAGTAGAATCTAATCCTACGTCGCTGAATTTTTTTGTAATTTGCTCAAGGTTTTCAAAAGGGCTTGGAATGGCAGTGGTACCAGCTCGGTTGGCTGTCCTACTGTCTCTTCTTCCCAATTGAACTTCCCACGTTGGGCCTCCATTCTGTAACATTCATAAATAATATATAATTAAGGACAAGAAAGAAATATATATCTATAGACTTGTTCCGTAATTATATTATTTAATCTTGGAGTAATTCTTTTATGTTTCGATACACCATGTGACTGGTGTACCTAGAGTATAAAAAATTCTCAACCATATTCCCAATTCTTATATAGACTTGTTCATTTCATGCTTCTGATGACTTGGTCTGGGGGAGTTTCACTAAAACACCCAAAATGGGGGTTGAAATTATAAAAAAACCCAAGCACTATTTAAACATATAAACACACCCAAAATCCATCATTACACACACTCAAAACCCATTTATAAACACACCCAAAAAGTTGACTTTGAGGTTGATTTTGGGTGTGTTTCTATGTTTAAATAGTGCTTGGATTTTTTTATAAATACATGTCTAGGATTGGGTTTATTTATAAATTTGTATTAAAATAATATATAATTAAGAATAATATGTATGTATGTTACCGCAGAAACCAATATTTGAGAAGCAATTGCTAAAATGTCGGCACAGGTGACAACACCAGGGCAAACATTCTCGAGTGCAGTTTTGATGTCATCAACCACATCATATCCATCTGTGGATTGATTGGGACGTGCATCTTTCTCACTCTCTATGCCATCTGCGTTGTCCAGCATAATCGAACCATCACAACCCTGCATCTTCAATTAATTAATTAGTATTTCACACGGTTAACATTACAAATATCTCATTATTTAGACAAATCACAATTTGACACATATACAAAAAGAATTTTCTTTTGTGTTTTTACTTACGTTGACAAAGCAGTCGTGGAAATGAACCTGGATGAGTTTAGCACCAATGCGAATATCATTTTGTTGAGCTTGCTCCACCACACCACGAACAACGCTGGTTACATTTGGGCATGTGGTGGTATAGAAAGTTGAGCTTAGTTGAGCGTTGGAATTTCCCAACACACAAATAGTAACAAGAATAATTGCTGCTACAATTGAAAATGATGAAGACATGATAGTATGAGGAAA